ATGATGATAGGGTGTGTAAACCGATATAACCTGCTTTGAATCTATCAAGGTATGGCAAAAACACAGTCAGCTATGTACATTACGGAAATCAGGCGCTTTTAGATAACATTAGAAGACCACGAGACGGATGTTTGTGCTGGTAGCTCAAAAGGGCCTTCCGGAGATCTGGACCTTTGATCTAATTCAACCAAAGCACCCTTTTCCGGGCCCAGCTCATAGAAGGGCCCTCTTTCCGAGCCCATCTCATGTCTTTCTTGGCTTTGTAACTCGTTTACTTGGTTCCATATGTTATCGGGTGCCTCCACAGGCATCAACTGATGCGCCGAGGATCCGTGACCTGTGTGTTCTGTCATATGGCTTTCGTCTGAAGTGGATGCTTTCTTTTGTTGTCGACGGTGATGGATGTAGATCCCAGAGAGAATAGCAATTAACGACAGCCCGCCAATAGTACTGCCGACAATTATACCGATTTTGACAGCCACTGAGAAACCTTTCCCGTCAGTAGATGGACCGCTCATTGATGTACTTGTTGTATTTGCGTTCGTCGTATTTGCATTCGAGGTAGAACCTGCAGGTATTGCCTTCCAGGTGCTCTTCCAGGTGGCTTCCCAGCTGTTTGTTGTTGCCGAAATAGTGGAATCATTGTCACCGATTGACACGGTATCGACAATGAAGGAGCCTCCCGGTCCTGGTGCTTGAGCTAGAAACCACTTTCCACCAAGCCAATTGACTCCTATAAAAGCTGCTTGAAGGAAAGCACGTCCTAGAACAGGAGTGCTATTGGTAGCCATGCACGGGAAATATTGCGTTGGTGTCTTCACAAGCGGGGCCTCTAGTGTGAGATTCAGAAGAGCGAAGGGAACTTTAATCGTGATGAAGTCGTTGTTGAGGTTATCCTTGCTGAATTGGAAACCTAGGTAACCTGGCGAAGTTGCAATGGTATCGTACTGTGAGTCAGATGTGTTCCAAAAGTAAAGGCCGTATTCAGGGTGGTATGTCACAGGCAACTCAGCGGCTATCGCATCGCATGAGCTCTGAGGCAGATATATATATGGGTTTGCTGGGTCCACAATGACGCTGAGACCAGAGTCCAGGGAGGAATTACCCTGTGCCAATAGCCCTGTTTTGTTCGTGTAAGTCCAAGGAGATCCACCCTCTGCTACTCCGATATTCATATCGAGCAGCTCAATTGGGAAGCTTCCACTTGAAAATGCCTGGGAGGACACCTCGCCCATCACTCTATTCTGATCATAACCCCCTAAAAGCAGCGATCCAGGAATTCCTAGTGCTGCGGAGCCAATATGCATACCGTAAGAATAAGATGGGATGTTTAGCGATCCCTCTTGCTCATAGAAATAGCTGGTGACAAACGTCGTGTTGATCTTGATCACATTTCCAAATGTTTGATTGATAGCTGGGCATCCAAGGGATAAGATCCCCACCTCCAGTGGGTAAGCTTGCCCACCAGGGTAAGTCTGCCACCCCGAATATATTATGATCATATCAACATCAGGTACGGGTGAGCCGCTGATGGTTACATAGTCTGTTGCTCGTCTTGCTTTTGCGTAAACAGGCGCTGCGTCCGAGAAACCCCAATCCACATCACCCCATGTCCCATATGGAGGCATCTCTATCGATGTATTATCGAGGCTGGCTGATATGTCGCTGTCAAAGAGGCCAGCTATATCCCCATAACACACAGACGAGAGTGTTTTGTTGTCGCAAATTGAAGATAATAGAATCTTACTTTCCCAACTACCTCCCGGGTACAAAGCCACTTCCGAGGAAGGAACAACGATTTCGGTGTAGTTACTCCCAATTTGCACTGTGACCGCTTGCCAGGGGCCATCGGGACCAAACTTCTTATTTGACCAGGGCATCACCCGGGGACCCGAGCAAAGAACATATTCGAGGCAGAGGGTCCAAAAGGCAAAAAAGCACTGCTGCTGTCGTCGCCGCATCCCTAAGGAAGAAAATCTGTTAGAAAATCCTGAGCCATGCTAGAAAAAAAGACATGTTTCTGAATGGCCTGACTCGACAGACATCTCAGGAGAGCGAAGTAGCCTACCGATGAATATTGAAGACTCTGGTGTAAACTGACTCAGGCCGCCTCCAGGCTGAGCTGAGGTACCAAACACAGGTGAATAGGTGTTGATGTCGCAAATCTTAGGATGACTGCTAATAGTACTTATGGCATTCTGAGATTGCGCACATTTCAGAAGAAAAGGTCAACTTGAGTCGTCAAAAGACGAATATGTGAATTGAGATTCAGGTTGGATAACTATCAGCCAACTAGATTAAGTACAGGCCCATCTAAGCGCCCCTAATATGCCAGTTGTTATTCATAGCCGCACGAGTCCTTACAGTGGGGTTGCATGAGAACCCACTGACCAGTGAACAATGGGTGTGCATCTAGGTAGTACTAAGTACTAAGGTAGTGAAGGTGCAGGGACTACTGAGCCGGATGTACGGCATTCATTCGCGCTTAGTTTAATCTTATTACTGAGTCAGGCCGAAGTCATAGGAGCACTATACGATTGCTTGCTCACATGGTGGATTGATGGTAAAGCTGTGAATCGCTCCTACCTCAGCCAGTGTAAGTGTTGACTCTCAGCTAGATGTGCTTGGAGTTGATGACAAGGCTGGGAATGAGCAAAGACCCTGAACCCTTTGTAGTTGGCTTCACCCAATGCATGTTAGCGCTGTGCTGGGCACGGGCCATCATTTTCTCCAATCAGTAGCTGCGGTGGGTTATAGCGTGCTTCAGATCATGCATGGGCAGCGCTTAGCCGCCCATTCGCAGCCACCCGCCGCTGTCTACCAGCCGAGGGGCTGCTTCGAGGCAGATGGGGTTTAATTTCGATAATTGCACCTTGCAACACTCTTTTATTCTCTTTAGCCTTCAAAAACAATGCACAAAACTCGAAGTAAGATTCTTGGGTAACTTGCTCTCCAAGTCTTACCATCAGCTACTATAGAAAAATGTTCACAAGAACTCCGAAAGTCTTCCGCGCCTTTTTCTTAGTTGTGTCCACTCTTTTGGGATTTGTGACATTGTTACGACTTCCTAAACATCCGGACGCTGCACGAAACTCCGATTCTTATCACACCGGGCTGTCTAGGGAGCGCATTGACTGGTCCCGTTTCGCATACACTCAATATGCCACAGACAGGTCTTATCTCTGCAATTCAGTCATGATCTTCGAGGCCCTTCACCGTCTCGGTACAAAAGCCGACCTCGTGCTGATGTATCCCTCCAAGTTTCTCGTGTCTGAGAACGATAGTTCAATTGAAGCACGCTTACTTCGTTTTGCAAGAGATAATTATAACGTGAAGCTTCGGCCAATCGAGGTAATCATGAAGGGAGGAGGGGGAGGTAAATCAATTTTTTACGCTGCAAGACTAAATACTAACTATGAGCGCAGCACCATGGTCAACGAGCTACACGAAGCTCCTCGCTTTTAATCAAACAGATTATGACAGAGTTCTCAACTTAGATTCTGACGCCACCCTGCTGCAGGTTCGTAGCCCAGTCATGGCATTTCTCATCGCAACTAACACACACGCAGACGATGGACGAGCTGTTCCTACTCCCACCAGCTCCAGTCGCCATGCCACTGGCCTACTGGTTTTATCCGGAAGAACGAGTATTCACATCCGGGCTTATGCTCATCCAACCATCCACGGGTGAATTCAATCGCGTTTTGGAAGAGATATGGGACAACCCTTCTGAAGAATACGACATGGAGATTATGAACAAGTTATACGAAGATAATACTCTCGTTATACCGCACCGCCCTTATATGCTTTTGACGGGAGAATTCCGCGCCAAGAACCATGAGGCTTATCTGGGAAATACATATGAACCGTGGGATGCCGACAAAGTTCTAAGAACAGCTAAATATCTCCATTTCTCTGACTGGCCAGTTCCCAAGGTACGTTAACAACAAAGATTTGATACCCTACGGACCCCTTGAGATTGTGCTAAGTCTGGCGCTAGCCATGGGTTGCCGCTACTCAACATGTGATCGAGCAGACCCAGCCTCCTTGCGAGGTCAACCCTGCTACTGGTCAACGAGATGACTGCCATCTCCGAGAGATCTGGCTAGGGATGTACAAGGAATTTATGTCTAGACGACAGGTACTTCCAATTTTTCCTGGCTTCAATTCAATTCTCGCTGAGGTTACTGACGTGAGCAGAGCGTATGTGGCGTTGCTATACAAGACCAGGATGCTCAATAACAGGTCGATCCTTCTTTGACATCATTTTATGATGAATGTGAAGAACATAACACTGATTACTGAACGCTGGACGTTCTCGTGTAAAACATGTTTTACTTTTCTTTTCTACCTATTCTCTCTCTCTCTCTCCATAAGCCATTAGAGTCATGTTTTGTTCAGCATCCACGTTCGAGCTCTACTTTTGAAGACCTTTTCAACGATTTGGTTTATTTTCTGCGACTTACTATGATAGATACAATTGTTCTAATCATCCAATAAGTTCTTATTAGATTTGGGTTAACACTCTGTCAAACAGTGGTTGTGGTGCCAGTGTTATTAGGACTTATTCTATCTGTTTAATACTTAGACTTAAAAAGGAATTATCTTATGGTAGTAGGTAAATAGAATATTTTATAAGAACCTGATCAAGCTAGAATATAGGGAAAATTATAATACTGGAGGGTGCGGATGATCAGGGGTTATCAGGAAAGTTTAGGTAAGTTATGACTTTGAGCACCTTCAGGACGCGCGGTCATATTAATGATTGATTCTTAACATCAGTTTATGCTGTTTTATCGCCCATGGTTCCTCCACGCCTGGATGTTCCTATTATGTGAGAGATAGGATAGGGGACTTTTTACCGCATATATTAGACCTTTACGATATTCTGCAAAGGAGATAATCGGATTAAAAATTTCTAACAGATGCTTCAGTGGTACATTGATACTGTATTTCTTGTAATTCAAGTATTCTATGCTTTGTTTATATTCAGTCTAGCTGTTATCAATATATCCTAGCTGCCACTTGTCTCTAATATCAACCAATCTTGTTCTTCCAGCCAGAACATCCTCCTGCCTCGCTTGGTACTCGACTGCTATGTCTGGATGTGGTACCCAAACTACTCGCATCCCAGCCCGTCTTGCAGCTTCTATTCTAATTATGCTATTTTCAAAGACCAAACACTCTTTGTGCGAGATGGGGCTTTCACCAGAATCTGCAGCTGGGTTTAACGTCCGCAATGCGACCAAGAAAATGTCAGGAGCCGGCTTCCCTCGAGCCTGTCGCACTCGTGGGTCATCACCCAAGACCTGCCTGTCAGACTGTATAAAGCCAAGCAGCCGTCTTGTTTTAGGGCTCGAGGTTTTCAACTTGTAGCTATGACTCTTGGTGCCAGGTGCTAGTGCCATATGTATCTTGGTCCCTGAAGAAGCACTACTCGTTGGTATCTCCGCGTCATTAGCGATATTGCTCGTGAAACTCCATCTCCCGTTGACGCTTCTGCACCATCTCAATCGTCTTGATATCGTATACCTCCTCCAGCTGCTTACCACCCAGAAGCACTTCTTTTTCATGCCGTACAGCTTCATCCTTAGTCATACACACTAAATCCTTCAACTCAAGCGGAACAAAGGTCTGCCCCTGCTTCATCCACTCCGGATCAGGTCCGAATCCTCTCTCAGGCCGCTCCCAGGGAACAAGACTGACTCGACTAGGGAGGCCACTGACCACGCTCTTACCGCGGAAGATCTCATCGACCAGATATCCGACGTCATCCTTGCTGATGGGAAGGCGAAGCCCGACAAGGCTAGGGCCATGCTCCGCCCGGGCCAAGCGCTCGAGCGTTCCCTGCAAGGCTGCCAAGACACCATCGTACAACTTATCCCGACCCTTTCCACCCACGCTGTAGTCCATCGGATAGCCGGAGATGTCGCAAATGACGTGGTTCGCCACGGTGTAGCCAAACACTGCAGGCATTGTTCCCAGCACAGGGAGGATCCGCGCCCGAAAATCGGGCAATACACTCAGTTCACCAACTTCTCCTTTGCTGAATTCTGCCTCATTCAGTGGAAGAAGAGTGGCTTTTCCAGGACCGGGCTTTTCAGTGGAGAAAACAACAGGGATACCGGTATTCACGCCTAACAACTTGAGGCGTCGACGAGTGCTCCGCGACAGCGGATCATCCGTACTAAGTGAAATATCACCAACCGTAACACGGGTAGGGTCTGACTTGCATCCTGCTCCCATTGCCGAAATCACGGGAATAGAGTGCGAGTGGCAGTAATGAAGCAGCTCCACCTTGGACGTAATGTTATCAATGCAGTCAAGTACATAGTCAGGCTTGTGTCCTTTGTCGTTGTCGTCCCAACTCCACGGCGCAAGAAGTCTGTCGGCAACTGATCCCCCGAATAGTTCGTTTCGACAGTCAAACTTCACCCACGGTGTGATCTGCTCCAGTCTTTTGCGAATACAATGCACCTTCGGCGTTCCAACGTCGGCCAGCGTCGCGAGAGCATGTCGGTTTAAGGAGGAAAGCGTGACCTGATCGAAGTCGATCAAGCGGATCTTGGAAACACCCGAGCGGGCAAGGGATGCCACAGCATGCGACCCGACTCCTCCACATCCGACAACAATTATGTATGACGAGCGGAGCTTCGCGAGGCCTTCATCGGACAGGAAAACACGGTTTCGGGCAAGTTGTTCGAGAATGAGCTCTAAACAGAAATCGGATTAGCCGAGTAACATAGCGACAATTGTAGGGGAGTATTCCAAGCAAGAATCTGTACCATCATCATAGTCTCCTTCCTGCGCTCTCCGAGCGAGGAGCGCACTGCGTTCATCTTCCTTGCTCAGCTGCGCTGCAGCCGCGACACCGTATTCTGTGAGCTTCTCGATAGTCAGCTAGATTTCCTATATTAAGTTCCAAAAACCCTAGGATACCTTTTCAACGTGGTGTTGGTCATTGACATCTGGGATGGATGCTTTGAGGCGCTGCACCGCATCCTTCCTTTTGAAAGCCTGGTAGCCAAGTATCGCACCAGCGACCGCAGCTCCCGAAATCACTGCTGTAGCCGCAAGCTGTGTCTGATGAGATCCACTCTGCCGTTGGATCCAGGATGCCATTCTTATATATCTTTTTATACTGTATGCGCGACCTTATCCATATGCGATCCGATTTTGACTGTGGCGATACTGTCTAAATTGTTGCAGCGATCTATCACAACTCAAATGGTTATTGACGTTAATTCAAGAGAAGACGTAAGAGGGAGCCCAATGAGAATTTTTGACCAGTAATAACTCACCATAAAGGAGTTTCCCAACCAGAGGCAGACGGTGCTGAATTATCAATTACGTATTTCCCATCGCAGTTGAGCTCAAGTGGCACCTCTAATGCGGGTCACGTGTATTCCAACACCACGCGTTGTTCCCGCGAAGCAGCACTCAACATGTATATAGGTAATGGACTGCTAGCAGTGGAAGAAGAACACCTGATTGAGTGTGATGATAAGAAATGAACAGAGACCTAAAAGACTATCAAAGCTGCTTCTTTTATGTGAATGATTCATTTCTCTTATCCTTGTTGGTGTCAGGTATTATCAAATGCGCGTTTAGGGCCATATTCTTTGCTTTAAGCGGTGGCAACACTTACTTAGCGGACTCGATCAGGTATGAGAATAAAAACTGATACCAATTGATTTGAATCAATTATGACGTGACCTTCATATAAGAAGTACTAGGTGTCAACCGCGATGACAGGTCACAGGGGTTGACGATGCCCAGTGCTACGGCACAGGCAGCGGTCATTAGGGATACTTAATATGTCCATTCACTTATCGTACAATCCATCGACGCCAATGTGCAGCCAAATTATCCATGTTGTCTATATACAATCTGCGAAACCCGTAACCACATCCGAAACACCATGCCAAATACACACTGAAATCAACTAGCAGGGGAAACTGGAACACCCTCTGGTGCCCCCTCCAGAGGACCTTGGGGTTTCTCCCGGGGCGGCCAGTTTGGCGCCGGATAGCTGAGCAATTTACACACGTCCTGTCGACCATCGTTAGCAAGAAGAACACACCAACCAGACATGAGGAATGAACAAACCCTTCGTTTCCGCCGGAAATCATCGTAGAGCTTCTTCCAAATCTCACGATCCTTGCACCCACTCTCATGCATCGTGCCCGGCTTGACCTTGCATTTGGGCAGCATATCGGCCAGCAATTCCTGCGGCCACATGACCCACGGCTTGGGCAGCGGCCAGTCGGAGAAATGGACCAGCTTCGCTTCCGCTAGTACCTTTTCCGGATCCCATTCTTCGTGCTCATTACCCAGGAAGGCCCGGTGGTCGTCCTTGCGAAACTCGCCGGTGACTAGTCCGTACTGTCGATGCGGCAGAACCAAGGCCGAATCCGCGTACCGTTCGTTCATCAGTTCCATATCGTACCTGACTCGCGAGCTGACGTTCGAGTCGACCTGTCCGTACGAAATGGCCTGAGCCTTATCCATCAACGCATACCACTCTTTGTAGGACGGCTGAAGGACAATCAAGAGAGACGAGAGCTGCTTGATATCAGGCAGTTCCCAGTAGGCGCGGGGCATGGCGACTTGAGAGGGCGGGAGGAAGAACAATTCGTCCATGTTCTGTAGAACGCTAACGTCGGAGTCGATGTGAATGACACGTTCAAATTCGGTCTCTCCGAAGGCAAGAAGCTTGGAGATGCTCTTGTCCCAGGACTCGCTTGGTCCTATTCTTCCTGCATTAGCTCCTGACGTCGTTGACAACTCGAACCGTTGTAGGGAATGTCCTACCCGATCCAGCCTTAACCATCTGCACATCAATCGGCACCAACAGCACATTGTATTTCTCCTGGGCCATCGCCAGCAGCTGGCTGTCCCGGTCGCGATCGTCATCTACTAGCACGTCCCAGTTCTCGGGGTAGAAGAGCACCCGCTGCGCTCGGCTGCCAAGCCGTTGCAGAGTATCGAAGACGATAAGCGCATTGCACAGGTATGGGCTCGACGTCGCATACTGGCTGTAGGCGTAGAGCGACCAATCGACTCGGTCGTAATCAATATGAGGAAGGGGCGGAGGCGGGGGTTTCTCTCGACGTAGCAATAGGACAAACAGCACGAAGACGAAGATGGCGAGCCAGGCCCGCGGACTCTTAAGATAGCGGAGCTGGCGCTTGATGATGGACCAGCAGGGCTCTTCGGGAATGTCGAAGAAGTCGGCTTCGGAGGCGTCTGAGCCCCGGCGGTAGGGTAGAACGGGGCCTTTCTTGCCTGCCATGTTGAGTTGAAGTAGATCAATTGAAGGGAAGGGACATCTTTAGATGATGGTTGACGCGTATTCTCCTCGTCGATCACTACTACTCCGCCATCTTCAGGGAGGCAATCGCCGCCATGATCTGGAGTGATAACTGGTTAGTTGTGCTGGTTGTGCTGGCTTTGTCAGCTATCCTGCGGATAAAAATAACGCCCAATCAGATCCGATCGGTTCCAGACCACTTACTAGTAGTAAGTACTGTGCACTCAGGTGCAACGCCGTTGGATCACCAAAAGGTACTACTAGTATCATTACAGTCTACCAGTAAGCAGTCAAGCTGAAGATCCAGTAACCGCGTCCAACAGGGTCGTTAATCAATTTCGGTGTATCCCGTAATAGGGTGTACACAGTATCCTATCGCATTCACCATGTCATCGGCGCGTGTCTTTCTCCGTTGCTCCGCAGTTTAGTCAGCACATGCGCATTGTTATGTTAACTACTCGAAAGACAAGAGATAAAATCGAAATAAAACATAAGCTATCTGCTAGTGTGACGTAGTTGGATTTGTATTGAAATCTTCCTGCTAATTCACTTATCATTCGCTTGGCGCAGCACGACCGTTTTTGGCGCAATTTAGCTGGGTATTTGCGACACCCGCCGAGAGATCACTCCGGAGGACTAAACCTCTCCACCCACTTCAGTCCGTCTGCCTGTTTCCCCGTCGCCAGTATGGAGCTTTCCCGCATTATCCTCGCCATCGTCGTCTACTTTGGTAAGCCATACGGACAGTGTTTCATCTGCCTGCTTACTGACGCCGTACAGTCCTCCGTTTCATCCGTACTCGCTTCTTCGGCAACAACACCACCGGATCCACCATGTCTCACGGAAAGGTTATCGAGGTTGACAAGTGAGTCGCCCTTCCTAACCCCCCCTCCGCAGATAGTAAATTGGGAACTGACCAGCCCAGCCCCGTCATCTTCAAGGCGCTCACCTCCAACGGTCCTGTGGTCGTGGACTTCTTCGCAACCTGGTGCGGTCCATGCAAGGCCGTTGCGCCAGTGGTCGGCAAGCTCAGCGAAACCTACACCAATGTGCGCTTCATCCAGGTCGACGTCGATAAGGTCCGCTCGGTGGCGCAGGAACTGGAGGTGCGCGCTATGCCCACGTTTGTCCTGTACAAGGATGGTCAGCTGCAGGAGAAGCGCGTCGTGGGTGGAAACATGAAGGAACTGGAGGCAGCCATTAAGGACATTACGGCATAAGAGGGTAGTAATAAAGGAGGCCGGGGATAGCCGAGCCCGCAGAAATGGAAGGAGAGAAAGTAAACTACAAGCCCAAATGTGATGATGGTGGACTCAGTGATGTACTCTTGTCTGTTCAGCACTATCGTGGCCCTTACTAGCGGGAGGATAGCTGCGGACCAACCAGCCGCACGCAATGCCTCCAAACATCCAATATTTGCATCTACCATCTGTCAAATTGATGTTAAGGCTACTAGGGATCGGAGCCGTCGGCTGGCAGCTGAATTGAAGGCGGAATACCTTCGACAGGACCTGATCGACGCGGGACGTGACACAGAATGTGACTGCGGGGCACGGCACTAATATTTCAATACGATATAATGTGTAGTTGTATAATTAGCCGCAGCGAGGACATCTCCTACGTCCGCTGCAGCACGTATAGTTAGTAGTTGTTTCATGGGTTTACGGCGAAGCTTTTGAGATGGGGGGTTTGACGGCGTTGAGGGTCACATCATTTGTTGCTTCAGACGGTGAGGCACCTGCATTGCTTAGCATCTTACAAAGCGGGCTTGATCGAATATCAGGATAACAATCGAACTAAATTAAAAGAAAGCCTTTGTCCGCGGGTATCATCGTCAATCAAATCAATCAAGCCAGAGACCAAAAGAAATCCTCAAACTGAACCTAACCAATCAATCCACTCCTGCCCGGAATTAATCAATCGCTCCCATGTCGCCAATGAAACCTAGCAAGCACAATGATACTCTAATTGAAAATGAACAGAGACCACACCATCAATGACCTATTGATGGAGTTAAAACAAGCAGTCTGTCTAAAAATGAGACGTCGCCAACAATCATTCCGAGTTTCACATCACTGTCCGCATATACTAAACGGGCATAAGTAACCACCAGGGACCCCGCTCTCATAACAGAAAACTCAGCTCGTCCTCGCTGTCATCGTCCTCGCACGGAATGACCCGCTCGACTGGGGGAGGTCGCGTACGAGTGGAGCGTCGAGGGCCTTGCACCTCCGATGGGCTGGGAATCTGTGGTGGTGGTGGTGGTTGTTGTGGTTGTTGTGGTTGTTTTCGTGCCGTATTGGGGGTGCGATTCAGCGATCTCACCGATACGGGCTGGTTGACGATAACCACCTCGATGAGGGGAGTCACTTTGTTAGGGTCCGCGCGGGAGAGGCTGGGTGTAGTCGGGCCTGGTTGTAGTCTCGTCTTCTTCAAGGTGCTGTTCTTGGCCTGGGGTAAATCGCGAAGGGCCGTCCGTGCCCGGGTGGCTATCGGTGCAGAATCTGGCTCAAGGGAGCGAGCCGCAGCAAGGCGCCCACGTGTCGCTGGCGAAGCGCCAGACGTGACTGGAGCTGCAGTCATCCTCCTCGAACTTGACCGAAGTCTCTTGGGTGACGGTGGCCTCCAATCATTCGTCCCGCGTCCTCGTTTCCCGCTCATCGATGGCGCAGATGATGTCACGCTGGATGCAGCATCCTCCGAAAGTTCAGGGCTGGGCGATCTGCTACTGGTTGAGCAGGAGAGCGCCGATGGTCGCCGCTTAGCTGTCGCAGCAAGAGGGCTTGAAGCGCCATCCGCATTACGGGAAGCCAGAGGTTTGGCGACCGGCGTGCTGGATACCCATTCCCCAATGCTTTCTTCCCATCGGTACAGGTGAATCACATCGTTTTGTGGCACATGTGCCAATGCGGCAGATTTGCGGAGATTCCCTTCTTGCTGGGATGAAGCGGCTTGTTCTTGAATTTCGAGAGCCCACGCGTGGTCATCCACATCCAATGTAACCTCCGCCAACGTCATTGCTGTTTCCGCAGCTACCTTGGCGAGCAGCAGAGAAATGCCCTTCATACTCGTCAGCCGCGCAAGCCGCCATACGATAGCTCGAATTTTTCGAGGTGTCCTCGTGGGATCATCTTCGCGCGCATGTCCACAGCATCGAAACAGTTGTTGAACAAACTCTGCTAGCTGTTTGACTGCATCCTGTTGGTGTATCAACGATATACAAAGCGACTCTAGATTTTCTGGCGAGATGGCGCCGGACTGGCTAATGACCTCAGGCGTGGAACTTTCAGTGCACTGCAGCGTCCACTCACCCAACAAGACGTATCCCCGACGCAGGGATTGGAAGCTTGGACCCTCCATCTCGCGCCGCGACAGTACCAATCCAACTGCCCGTTGTACCCCAAAAGACAGTGTTCCGACAATATGTCTGACTTTCGTGCCTGTTATCTTGTCATTGGCACCGGAGGCTTGCGTCCGTGCCATATACATGCCGCACAGTGCGGTGACTAGACTCGCTGAAAGATTGCTGAGCGCATCTTGGATGGGAACAGGACACGGAGATTGATCTTTAGGCACGCTTGTAGGATTCGTTACCGATGCACGGGTGTCCTTTAGACGTACACAACGAGGTACCTTTCTCCCCTTGTTCCGAGCTACCAGCGAATCCGTGGCGGGATATATACCAGCAGATGAAAGGATGATAGCCTCAATAGTCCGGGTCGCAGCAGCTGAATCTCCGTCGCCAATTGATAGTGACCGAATAGCCCCATCCACGCACTTTTTCCATCTTGTAGTGACCATCCACTCTGGCGGAAGAGCCCTACGAGACAAGAGCTTTGTCATCTCATCAAAAACAAAGGATCTTCGTTCGGGGGCCTTCGAGTAGTAACTGCGCAATATGTAGATAGGGTTATCGCAGTGGCCCACAGGTTTCGAAGGATCAAAAGCTGTTGGGTAGTCGTGAGTCTTGATGGTCGTAAGATATTGTGACATAAGTGTTTCGAAGGCATCCAACTCCCCGTGCTCAAGACATTCCCCTAGCAGGCGACAGACAGCCAAACTGGGTATCCATTCTCTCATCATCATCTCAGAGATCAGGTGGATGCCTTGCGCACGCACAGCTTCACGGAGCGGCTGCCACCCACCGCCGCCAGGAGCATATTGAGCTTCGAGTTCAGTAAAGTATGCATCACACATGTCAACATCCTCATCCGGCTCCACCTGATCCTGCAGGCGCTGCTCCTCGGCGATGAACCCCGGCAGCCGTCGCGCAGCCATAGATAGTAACGATCGGGCCCCGCGATTCTCCTCGTCATGCTTGTGTATTGTCGGAGCAGGTCTGGTATTCTCCAAAAATTTGATAAGCATGCGATCCAAAAATCTCGCAATATCCACCAAGCCCGGGTCTCCAGAAAGATCCAAAACTTCCTTCCACGAGCCCTGGTATGCCGGAAAACTGGGATTATTCGTCCGCGACTGCCTGTTGGCCCCGACAGCGCTCAAGGATGGTCCCGAATTCCGAAAAAGCCGTTTGCGAATAGACAAGGTCGCCTCCGTGGGTCCTGGTATAGTTCCTGTGATCAATGGGGTAGCGATCTCGATAGCGCCAGGCAGCGTCCTCTGCACTTCCGGGCTCTTGATCAACAGTCGACTACGTCTCCGTGCGCCATTCCTCTGTCCACGATTCGAGTAATTATGCCTGGGCCGGCGATTTCCCCGGTTTCCTGGGACCCATGCTGGATCGTCGGGTTCCTCGTCTGAAAGATTGCAGCCTGGTTCGTTACCAGTTCTTTTGTTGTTTAGCGGGGCTTGCGAACGGTGGGAATCGTGGGGATCGGGCTTGACTTTCGATTTCGTTTCTGCTATGCTGTTGCGAATCTCGTAGTGTTTCTGGAGTCGGTGGTGGATGGATTTCAAGGGGCGCAACATGCGATTCGCCCATTTCGCGGTCGGCCGGATGTCCTCCATGTTGCGCCAATTGCGTCGCGGGTTGGCGTTTGTACTCGCAGGACGTCCCACGCCCGTAATGGGGAGGGATTCCAAAGAAAGCGCTTCAAAATTAGGCTTGTCGTGGTTATTGATGTCTCATAAATGATCGATGTCATCGGGAGTCGCGAGCCAAACACTGCGATGTAACCAAAAGTACTACCGAAAGAATGCGTAGAGACGACACCTAATCAAGTTTCGGATCCAATAGCACTGCATGCAAGTAAGATATACAGTTATGCACAGCCACATAAACCCAAAATCAGTTGCAAAAATCGAAATAAATTAAGCAAATGTGAACGTAAGATGTTGGAAGTTCCCCAACAGAGACCCAGAGGGCGGAATCGCGCAGGTACGCGATGCTTGCCGCCGTATGGCCCATTGGATAATGACGGGGTGGGTGACCGCCTACCATCTTCAGTGGGCTTTGAAAAGACAACGGTCACGTGAAGAACCAGGCCCATAAGGCGCTGGATTCTGGAGTATTCCAGCAGAACAAAGCAGTCTCATTTCTTTCTAACTATTTCAAACGAGGGAGTAAGTAAGTAAGTAAGTAAGTAAGGGATAAGGCAATAAGAAATCAGACCACACTCAGCGACTGTGTACTTGCTGAGTGAGCGCTTCTCTTCCCTTCCAAAGCCAAACAAGCAATGGAACAAACAAACAAACAAACATCATTCCACGGGGCAGATGCTGATCATCGTTCAAATTGAGACTCAATGATTACATAGTACTCCGTAGTAACTAGTTACCTGCGGCAACTAGTATGCCAACTAGAACAAGATAGCTTCGCATCATTCCTGCTCATTCATGCATTCCCCCGTTCCATGGTATCTCCCTGCATCCAGCCACCGCTGATCCTTATCCTCTTTGCTTCTTTAACCCCAATATCCCCCACCATGATTCTCCGCACTCTTCATCCGCCCTCACTCTGAGTGTCGACACTAAATTTCCGCCATGCTGCTTGATCATCTCTGGCTGGCGTGCCTCACGTTGCTCGTGGCTGGGGCCGCTGCCGTCAAGGTCAATCCCTTACCAGCTCCACGCAATATCACTTGGGCTTCGTCGGGTCCTAAGCAGCTGGCCGACTTCGTTAGTCTCCGTACCTCCCGGGACACTTCTGATTTCATTCTGGCCAATGGTTGGAATCGTGCCTGGAATTCTATCGTCTCCCTGCAATGGGTACCGGCAGCAACCGAAGGTCCCGCGCCGTCTTATCAACCCTTCCCCACCGGTACGGCCGGGGCTACTAAAAGGTCCCCGCAGGCACTGCCATCGCTCCAATTTGTCGATGTGAACGTGGTGGATGTTGCCGCAGATCTTCAGCATGGGGTAGACGAATCTTACACCCTGGAGGTCACTGAGAGCTCTACCTCCGTGGTCATTGAGGCTCCTACCGTGTGGGGGGCGCTTCATGCCTTTACCACTCTCCAGCAGCTGGTCATCGCCGACGGACAGGGTGGTTTGATAATCGAACAGCCAGTTAAGATCCAGGATGCCCCGCTTTATCCTTACCGGGGCATTATGATTGACACTGGGCGAAACTTCATCTCGGTCAACAAGATATACGAGCAGCTGGATGGCATGTCTCTTTCTAAACTTAACGCTCTACACTGGCACTTGGAAGACACCCAATCATGGCCTGTAGAGATTGATGTCTATCCAGAAATGATCTACGATGCCTAC